TTAAGACAATGGAAGGATTGGCTGATCGTGTTCAACGGATGGAAGCAAAGATGAATTCGTTGGCGACAATGGCTGATCTAGAGGCGGTTTCGATCTTAGACAAGGCTAATAAGAATCTTCTTGACAAGAATGATCCTTTTAAAACTCCTCTTAACAGTGCAGCTGCTAAAACCGGTTTCGAGATGCGACCAGAATTTACTAGCCCTTTCGCATCTTCAGATAATCGTCCTCGAGTTCCTGCTGCATACACTCCTCCACAAAGCGGAGTATTTGGTGGTGGTAATGATGATAAAACGATCATCGTTAAAGGATTTGACTCTTCGCTTCCTGAAGATGATATCAAGAGCTTATTGACTCAATATTTCAGCTCATGTGGAGAGATTACAAGCGTTGTTGTTCCAAAAGACCAAGTTTCCGGTGCGGTCATAGGATGTGCTTACATTCATCTAAAGGAAGGAGTAGAGAAGGCTTTGAAACTTAGTGGAAGTTAATTACTTGGGAGKATGGAATCTATTGTAGTTGAAAAAGCTACACGGATAAGTGATTTTGGTGGCCCTTTTGGTCCTTCTGGCAGAGGAGGTCCTTGGGCTTATCCCTACCGTTGTAACGGTCTCGGCCATTGTTACACTTGTTGAGGTTTTGGTGGCTGAAGAAGAGACGGCTCTATAGGAAAGAAGACTTGCCTTCGTCGATTTTTTATTTATTTATCGGTTTTTCTTATGTTCTCTTTGACCTATGGTTTTGCAATTATGATATGTTTTGTCACAAAATCATGAATTTAGAATGCCCTGTTTTGTTTGCTTTCCTCATGAAAGAATATTCTTTTGCTATGGATATGATAGCTCTTGCCATAACGTTTTCTCCTTTTCAACTTGAAACAGAATCTGGATTTTTACTTTTTTGGTGTAGAATATCACATGTTTTTTAGCCTATGATCATGATCATAATGCTTTATGGTGGTAGTTAATTACTTACGCATACGGCTTGTGCTTTACTAAGTTTAGATATCTATACTTGCAAGTTACATCAATGGTGGTGTTAATTAATGAAGAGTGTTTAGTGTCTCTGCTTCACCTGCGTTGAAATTGTCACGGCTCACTTAGCAAATCATAAAGAGCTATTGCACTTGCATCCATCAGCTCTTCGTCCTTAGCTTCTTTAACTATTCCATTAGATTTCTTCAATGCATATACATAAATTTAAGTTTTTGTGTTTTACTTGCAAACACCTTATAACACAGACAACGAGCTGACGCTTATTTAATTTTTCACATCTCCTTTGAGATCTTTGTAACTTCAATAATTCTTATTTACTACAAATCCGATTCGTCGATTTCGGTCTTATTCTTATCTTAGACGCATTACGAGGATCTGACTCTAATTCTCTTTCATCCGATAATCAAATACTTAGATGTGAGATTAAGTTTGTAAAACTCATAGGAGAAGTGATTTTTAACGCATAGGAGAGTTCAGCTCCAATGACACTTGAAACCAGAGTAAACAAGTAAGAATCTATTCAAGCATGGGCAAAGTGTGTTTGTTTTTCTAATGGAACACCGAAGTAGATTATGTACTTCAAAACTAATTAATAATGAATGGATTAGCATATATCTAACATATATTATTTAATTTTGTTTGTTCAGTTTGTGATGTGAGATATTATTTTCGAAGACGTATATAGTTTTTTGGCCACTATTATCGGTATATTTTTGGCCGCATTCATTCATGGCCGATGTCGAAGTCGTTGATCTCCACCATAACTTATGGGACAAAGATAATGTAACTATTCCGACAGTAGCAAATCCAGAGATTGTTATAAGAGAAGTGGAAGATTCACTATATCTACTTGGTAGGATGACTTAAGTTCAAGGATTAATCTTATCATTTTTGCCTGTCCGAGTAGATTGGGAGAAAGTTCGAAGATAAACTTTAAGAGATGCGAAAAATGAGTCGAAGTTAGACTCATTTTCAAGGTTGACCCGAAAATCATTGCGAATGATCTGGTAGACGGCTATATCGATGACCGAATTTTGAAAATTCATGATGAGAAGGTCAAAGAC